TTTTTTTTATTTATAACGCCCCGTAACTCTCTTGTGAGTCGATTTTTGAAATCACCTTCCTTCTGCTCAGCAAAAGTAACACATTGTTACACATTTTGTGTAATAAACGCTTAAAATAGTGTAAATATTTTGTATCTGGATGTGTAATACGTTAATATTAATTTCTGATGCATTTATTTTATGTTAAATAGCTGTTACCCGCTATTCCCGTCTACGGGAAATTTAACAAAAAAGTGTTTATTCAATTCAGAGAGTTTACGAAAACTTAATAATTATATATTCCACGTTAAGAAATACCTATGATATAAGTATAATGTCATTCTTCTACTTTGGGAATCGATGTTTCTTTCTTGTTTTATTATTTTTTTTCCTTTGTTTTTTGTTGATTTTTGGTTTTTGTATTAAATTTATTGAACAATCTCTCTATATACAATATTAAAATTATAGAAAAATCTCTCTATATACAATATTAAAATTATAGAAAAATCTCTCTATATACAATATTAAATTTAATGAACAATCTCTCAATACACAATATTAAATTTATTGAAAAATCTCTCTATATACAATATTTGGTGTACGATTTTCTTGGGCTAAAACAACAACGTTGTTGGCATCCCTCGCACGTGAATATGCATGCCCCTTATAGTTGCCCATGGGAAAAGCAACGCTTAATTAAATCTATGCCAGCTTTGCTTTACATTTACCCTTGTGACTTGTTGTCACAGCAAATCTGACATTGATAGGGAATTGCAGTCTTCTGAATTCAAAGAAGAAATTCGATGGTATTATGGGAATTCGGGGTATAAATACTATATCACTTTTTCCGCATCCGGAAATTATACGACTTCTATAACGTTCTTTTGGAATGACGCTATTCGCAGCCTAGTGCCATTGCAAAGTTTTGGTGGGTTTAAATTACTGAACAGTATGACGGGCTCACCAATCTTAAGTTCTAGATTGTGAGGGAGGTAGACCTGGCACAATTATACTGTTTAAAGATTCTGTTGGATTATTAACTGCTTCATCCGGATTGCAAACTGTATTGATCATTGGAATGATGATAAGCGTTGAATACAACAGTTCAAAACAGATCTAAGTAGCAGTAGGGTGAAACTAAGACGCAAGCAAGGACTGAGAGGGACGCATGGCCTTTGATACTGTCGATGGGGTGAGGACTGTAAAATCATTAGGATCATGGGACATGGACGGGAAATGTCGCGGGTGGCAGTAACCTAATCAAACAAAAAAGTTTGATATAACTGCTAGAAATCGTTGAGACGGAAGGTTCACGAAATAAAATAATCCCTATTGAATAAAAAAAATCCCTACTGAATAAAAATAATCCTTACTGAATAAAAATAATCCCTATAGAATAAAAATAATCCTTACTGAATAAAAATAATCCCTATCTAATAAAAATAATCCTTACTGAAAAGAAATAATCCCTACTGAATAAAAGTAATCCCTATTTGAATCGGATATTATTCACCATTTCATTGGTTTTAATTTTATTTTCGCGGAACCCTAATTTTTTTTCTAAAATAAAAGTAGCCTAAGTTACTCCTTGTAACATTAGCTATCTGCCAGTGAAAGTTCCGTCAAAATTTGTCCAGCCGTTTCAGAGATTAGCCGGAGCAAACAGAGAGATAGACAGACAGACAAAAATTTTAAAAATTGATTTTTTCATATAAGTTCCGCAAATACTTTTAAATATATTTAGTAATACATTAAGAGTAAAAAAAACTTTTTTAAAAAACAAGCTTCTATTTAAATGCTGTAAAAAGAATAAAATAAACTTTTCTTTTAAAACTTTTTTTGCTATCAACTTATAACGTCATGACACAATTTATGATATAAAAGCTTGTCACGAGATTTAAGTACTAGTATTTACTTAGTTTGAAAATTTTAAAAATAAAAATCAATCAGATCAAGCTATTTAATTTGCTTGTTTATCGACACAGGTAAATCTCGCTATAAGATTTTATATAATAAATTGTGTAATTACGTTATAAGTTGATAGCAAAAAAAAGCTTTAAAAGAAAAGTTTATTTTATTCTTTTTAGAGCATTTAAATAAAAGCTTGTATTTTAAAAAAAGTTTTTTTATTCTTAATTTATTTTTAACTTTTTAGTTATCACTGGACAGGTTTTTCAGTCTATTCATCTCATTCAACGCATCATTGTTGCAAGGTCATTTGCCGGCTAGTTTTGAACAGGCTAGCTCATGAATACTCAATATTTTTTCCCACCAGACCACATACATATGATAGATATTTCACTCGAGCCGCAA